TTATCAGCTCAAAAAAATAGCAGCTTGGACTGGTAACTGTGTTGTTCTGTCTCCTTGATGGATTCTTTGTGCTACGCTGCTGTTTCTCGGTACCTGCTTCATGTGACTGTTTTAAGTGTCCTTTTTCTCCTGCAACTGTAGTTGTGCAGTTAGCCTGGAGCAGTACCAGCAGCGGACAATTTAATCTGAAGTATATTCCTTTTCAGTTGGATAAACACATCAGTTAGCTGAGGAGGCTACTTCTGCAGGCTGTGTCCACTCTCATAGTTTTTGTTTCATCATTTACCATTTCTAATTTTTTTTCACCCAAATCCTTAGTGCTACAAGATTCTTAATGTGTACAATTCCACTTTTCAGAGCTTTTTAGAAAACAAGTTGTTTTACTAGAGCTTGAAAACTCTTTTGCTTTTTTAATGGGCCCACCATGTAGTTGTATATTTGGGAATATTTTTACAACTTCTCTTGGGTTGGGAATGGGCCTAGCTCAATTTCTATTGAATACAGAGTAAATTTACAATGCTATGTAAACGATATCTAATAACAGCAACATGTGTGGCACCGGGTAACTAATTTAGATGTTTTGAAAACAGTATGAAAGCCATGTCAAATGTTTAATATAGTAAGATTCAACTGCTCCTTTGGAGCCCTAGATGGTTATTTAAAATACCTTCTTTTTTTTTTTTTTTTAAATGCTACTGTCATCAGTTGAATTGGCTTATTTCTAAATACATGCCTTTCTTTATAACATATGAATTAATCTCATTTGTCTGTCTTTGTTAAAAATTAGGGTTATGCTTGTATTAACATTAATCCTTTTTTGGGTGATTTCTAGGATCACATTACCCTTTGTGAGTTTTATTTTACCCATTGTATGAAAGCACTGAGAAGTAAAGTAATATGCATAAAACCTGAACAAACAGTGTTAGTCAAAATTTACACTGTCTACTGTTGGGAAAAATCTTTACCCTTTAAGAAAAATTGCAAAGGTTTATCTCTTAGTTTTGCCACTTCAGCAAATCAGGTTTTGCACAGGTATTTGAAGACTTCCAGACATGATCTTCCCTTACCTATATTTGCTTCGTTACCATTTTTAAAAGTTCATAGAATCCGGGAATGTCCCAAGTTGAAAGAAACCCACAGGGATCATCCAGTCCAACTCTGGTTCCACACAGGACCACCCAAACTGAGACTGTATGTCTGAAAGCACTGTTCAAATGCTCCCTGAACTCCAGCAGCTCTGTGCTGTGACCACTGCCCTTTGGAGCCTAGGCCTTGACCACCTTCGAGTGAAGGACCTTCTAATGAGTCCTGTCAAATTTTGTCCTATATGCTAGGAACAAAAAGGAATTAAATTTGGATTTAGTGGTTTAAATTTGGGTTTAATACCATAGGTTTAATATGCATTTCTCATTTCAGTCACCCAAGTTAAATCAGGTGTGACTTTCATCACTGAATCAAATTATTCCAAAGTAATGTAGATCAAACGTCCCAAGTTGCATGGAGATGCAATGAAGAATGAATGAAGAGCAATGAATATAAAACTGGACTTTAATGTACAACCATGTATTGAATGTTAATACTGATGAATTCAGACTGCATGTTTACAGTGTGTGTTCATGTCCGGGCTTTTCTAACTAAGCCTGTCTCTTAAATAGGAAATAATATCCAAAGATGAAAGTCTAGATTTGAGAAGCTAGAATTCGATTTTCAGCTCCACTGCTGGCACTTGATTTGGCCCTAAGTAAGAAAGTATGCATGCATTTTGGTGTCACACTGGAACAGATTGCCTAAGGAGGCTGTGGATGCCCCATCCCTGGAGGCATTCAAGGCCAGGGGGGATGTGGCTCTGGGCAGCCTGGTCTGGTGGTTGGTGACCCTGCACATAGCAGGGGGGTTGAAACTAAATGTTCATCGTGGTCCTTTTCAACCCAGACCATTCTGTGATTCTGTAATTCTACGATTCTCCATGCACCTGAGTCAGATGCAGGCAGAAAGGAAAATGTACCAGACAGCAGCTTCAGGGCTGCAATTGGAAAGCTAACCAGAGCCCAGACTGCAGGTCTGTTTCATTTAAAGAAATTTCAAATTTCAAAGAATATTCCTCATCCCACGTCTTCACTCAGAGTCCATCTTTAATAAATTTTGGAAGGACTGTGATTGGTGAGCAGGTCAGTAGTAAAATAGAGAATTGTTTGTCAGACAAGTACAAAACCGTGGGAATAAATGTTAAGAATTTTAGGGATTTTGAAACACAGTTCTGTATTCTTTTTCCTTCTATTACAAACTTTATTTAGTAACTGCATTATTTATTTGACACTTTCACCATTGTTCCCATTTAATTCTGCTGACTTAAGAATTCCTTCCTTATAGAAAGAATTCTAGAGTCAGTAGCATTAACATATGCTACTATTGTTCTGTAATTTAAGCCTGCAAATGAAAAATGAGTGTATACATGCTACAGATTTTCTTCACTTAGCATTAGCAAAGTACCCCAGAATCTTTCTACAACTATAGTCATACATTGAGCGTTGCAGAGGTATAACAGGGTCTTGAATTTCATCTGCACTGTGCGTTTACTGTTTCCTCTCAATAAATGATTTGCAATGTTGTGAAATGTTCTTCCTTTCCCAAATATCCTCCTGTTGTCCTCAAAATAATAAGACTTTTCCAACTAAATGATGTAACTCATATTAGATTTCTGGTTTTTTTCTCCAGCTTTTGCACATTTGTGACTGCTTCATCCTGGCTTTGAATTAGTTCAGAGTCATGGAAGACTTTGAAAGGGAGGCTAAAGGCAGTATTTTCTTTCTCTAAGAAGAGCTGAAGAAGGTCCCTATCATGCCACAAGTTTAGCTACTCAGAATTAGTCCTCCCAGATTTTTTCTCCCTACTTCCCCAAGGGTTCTGATGTACTAACAGTCTGCAACAGTTTGTCTATTTAGAAATAAAGCCAGTTGTTTTTTTCCTCAGGCTGTTTGTTAAGCTTTGGAAGGAAAAAGCCATCAGTATTGATGGGGATGGGTAGGAATAGAGAATTAGGTGTTGTGAATATGCATTAAATTGCATTAAAATTATTACTGGGAAAGGGATATTAATGGAAGATTTTTTTTTATTATACTCTTACTGGATATGCATAAAACATTATCCCGTTTCTAATGTGTCCATACATGTGGGAAACATGTAGGAAATCTCGCTTGCAAAATGTGATTGATTCTTGTTCTGCATACAAAAATAAGGAGTATCCATTGCATATGAGTCTCACAGGTGTTAGTAAAGTTTTATTGTCAAGGAAAAAAATGTAATAATTACTCACTGGTGTAACATATTTAGACACTGTTAGTTTTTTCCTTTCCTTCTTCTCATATTATTGATTACTGGCTGTTGCTTTAGCTAGTATTGCCGTATGCTTATTATGAAAGAAGAAACAATATGAAAACAAGGGAAATAGTATCAGGAAAACTACACTGATCTGACTGGCAACAACATTTTTAGAAGATAAACAGGCATGAGCTACAACTAGTTGCATACTGAGGTTGATTTCAGTTGCTCTGCATTTAACATCAAATTGATCTTTCTGCTTTCTTCACTTATCCCGTGTAGACTGTTTGCAAATGCCAACAATAAAACTGAATTCACAGCAGCCCTTTGTCAGTTGTCATGGCTGTGTGCTGACCTGAGGAAATCTCTGCAATTCTCTTAGAAGACATGCAAACTATAAAAAATTATGGTACCGTAGGGAAAATCATACAGCCACTTATTGTTAAGTTTGTCCATTTCCTAAGTATTCCTTTATTTTCCTTTCCTTTTAACATAGGCACCCTTAAACCAGTAAATCAGTTAAGCTGATACCTTTTACATCACTCATTTTGTTAAGAATGAATATCTCCTGGAAACTGGATGACTTGCTTCTCTGAACAAGAGCAGGAAAATGTTTAAGTATTCAGAAAGGACAAAAGAAATAAGGTAAAATGAAGCATAACAGGAATAAATAGCTTACAAAAAAAGGAAGAAGGAAGTCAGCAAAGAAAGCTGTGTCTTTGTGGTCAGGAAGTGCAGCATTAGGAAGAGAACTGCCAATAGTGAAACTGCATTAGACCTTGCCAAGGAAACTAAAACAAATAGCAAAGACTCTTTATCCTTTTAAATAAAAAGAGAACAAGGCAAGAGAAGTGACCACTGTGAGCAATGAGCACTCTCTCCATCTTCCTTTTTCTTCTTTCATTTCTTTTCTTTTTTTTTCTTTCTTTTTTTTTTTTTTTTTTTTAAGATTTTGCTGCATTAATTAGTTCTTTGCCAGGGAAACACTGCCACTGTAACTGTGTGTATTCCACACCTGCTGGGGACTTCTTGCCCTTGGTAGTATGCATTTAATACAGAGTGAACAAGCCCCACACAGCAGTTTCATCTGGCCAGCACCCTGCCTTACTGTGGATGCAGACCAGGGGTGCCAGCAAGAGGGAAGAGAGCTAAGCTGCATATGGCTAGTTGCCAGTGGGAGATCCAGTATGTATCCTTCTGATGGAAGTCAGCCTAAGATGTAGATCCAGGTATTATAGATGCTCCCTTTGCCTCTCAGCATGCAAACTCCTGATTTTTAATTTATTACAATAAAAAAAAAAGAAAAAAAGGTGGTTAAAATAGGGTTGCTGGAGAATGAGTTCTATTTGAGGTACTTTTCAAACACACAGCTTATGCTAAGTGTGCAGCCTCACTATCCCATTTTTCTCAATAATGCAATGAGGATGTTCTAAAATAATGGGAGTCTTAGAAGGCTGACTATAAATATTTCCAAACTGATCCAGTATTTTCATGTGACTGATTAGCTTTTTGGAGGTGTGGGGTTTTTTTTCAGCTGAAAAGAAGGAATATTATTCATGTTTTTCATTCTAGGAAAATGAGAGCGAATTTGAATGCAAGTGACTCCTTTATTTTGACCACTTCAAGTAATTTTGCAGTATGTTCAATCCTCAGCAGGGTTATGTCATGTTCTTTTATTTTAGGTTGTGCCGTGGATGGCCATCCAACTCCAAATATCACCTGGCTTTACTCTGGAAAGCCTCTCACTCTGAAGCATCGCTTCCTAGCAGCAGGTCACATTCTTCAGATACTCAACATCAGTGATGCTCCTGAAGGAGAATTCAGCTGCCTTGCTCAGAATGAGGCTGGTTCACTCTTACAAAAAACTTCCCTGGCAATACAAGGTAACTTTCCAATTTCTGTGCTTCTCCCCTGTGAAGCTTTTGACATTGACTTCCCTGTGTTGCCTTTCTTGTCCTAAATTTCTTGGCTCTAAAGCCAAGACTGTGATGCAAAGCAGGAAATTAATGTTTTGATATTCTACCACTATGGATATAAATTTGCAGACCTAGCAAGAAACTTGCAGCATCTTCGGTTTCACTTGCTGTGTCATTTTTCCAAAATGACAGTTGATACTTCTGGCCTGCTCGGCAAATAGCATGCTTTGCTGATTCAAGTTATACCCATGGCTGCTGCATTAGCCTAAAATTCCAGACAGAAGTGTCACAGGTCAAACCTTTAAGATTAGAAACCCCTCTGTTAATCTTCTAAAGTCAGCATTACACAGTGCTCAAAAACCCTTTGCTTGTAAAACTGCTGTAAAAATAAACTGTGTTATTTTTACCCTAGAAATTAACTTAAGGTGACGAATCCACTGAACTGAGCAGTGTGAATGGGTTGGAACAGAATATACGTCTTTCATTTTTTGCAGTTGACAGGGGTGGAGTGGAGAAGAATTTAACTTTTCCTTAATTTTTACAATAAAACTTCTCAGAAGTGCTGCAAATCCCTTATTTGCCATAGGACCAATGATCTCTGTGATTTGCTTGTTGAGATACACACTGTTGTAAGATAACACTATTAACTGCAGCTAGCCATGACTTCTCTAAGTCATACTTCTTTACAAATATAAATGATTAAGAATTAATCCTGTGAATTATTGCTGTAAAAGTATGCACACTGTATTTTTGAATACATGGATTTGAGCTTGAAAGTGTGCTTTACAGATGTTGAAGCAGATTAATTTTATAAATCCACTTCCTTTCTTTTATTCTCCTACTTTGGGGTGATCCAGTCTTTCCAATGGCAGGATCTAAGGACTTCCCAGAAGACTCACACAGTCCTTCACAGACATGTGAGAGCAAGAATGGGTCTTTTTAATACTTGGCAGTATCTGCTGAAGGGGGATCTTCAGCCTCAAAGCTCTCACAGAGTGAAAGGCAAGGTGGGATTGTGTCATCCTTACAGCCCTTGTATTCTCCCACCACAGTTTTGATATTTGAGTTTGTTTTAATTTTATTTTAACTGGCCTTCTGAAAAATCATGACAAGATGTAGTGCCAGGAGGATTAATAACATCTTTTTCATGAACCAAATGGAAAATCTGGCTGAATATAATAGGAAGAAATCCCTAGGCACTCGAAACCCAATTTAAGGGGGGAAAAAATCCTCATCATTTGCATTTGAGATATGTACTGTACATAACAACTTTTGAGGGTTTCTGCAGTATCATATGTATGTTTGGTTGCATACCAGGAGCTTACATGTTTGCCAGTGTCATGGTGCCTGCTCTCATTTTCCCAATGGCTTTCTGAAGTTCCTGAATCTATTCCACACATAGCTAACAGATAGCTAATTACCCACTTAAGTTTGTATAAATGCCAGGATTTGTAATGCCCCACATCCCTGTCATTTGGTATTCACCTTCTATGTCTTGTGCTTCTGAACACAAAAAAAACAAGGGGGGATTTGTCAGAAGATATGGTCAGTGCCTTATATAAGCTGGAATTCTGCTCCTTCTTTGTCCGTTGCCTGGTGCAACGTAGTTCCTTTTGCATGTAGTTCCTGGTTGCAAGCGTAGTTCCTTTCACGAGACACTGAGTCTAAACTTTTCATCCTGGAGAACAGCTATCTCTTTTCTAAAGTTTTCTCACTGGCAGTTTTTAAATGTTAACATGACTCTCGCTTTTTGGCAGACTACCAGTGGTCAGTGGACAAGCTGATGTCTTGTTCTGCTTCCTGTGGCCACAAAGGAATACAGGTGCCACAACTGAGGTGCTTACTGGATGGGACTGAAGTCAATATATCCAACTGCAAAAAGAAGCCCAAGCCAACCCTGCAGCCCATTGCATGCAATAGGAGAGACTGCCCTTCACGGTTTGCCTTTATTATACTAAAATGTCATATATGCTTTTAAGATGTACTTCAAGAGTTCTTTGCAATGGACAGCGTGCCCTTATAGCTTGCTGCTGCCTATCTAGGACAAAGTCGTGGCTGAACGAGAATTTATGAGTGCTTCCCAATGAGTAGACATTGGGAATTTTTACCTAGATTTGTGAAAAATGTTGACAGTACATAGTATATAAGGAGTGTTTATCCCTGCAGTAATTCAGTTAGAAAAGAATGAAGGAGATGTTGCCTACTGTTTATTAGCAAAGGTCACAGCTTCATGGTACTTTTGAATTTTCTCTGATAGTGTGAATAGTCAAGAATGCTTTTCAGCATTTTTACACTAAGGTAGAAAACTGGATTTCCATCTCACTAGTCATTTAAACTTTTAAGCTTAACTATCAGCTGATGTTACCTAGGCAGGAAGAGGTGGGGAACAGTGCCTTCTGCTTATTGCAGTACTTCATGAAAGAAAAGACTTCACCCTAAATGGAGCTTTCAAATATTGTTGTATGTTGCAATAGTAATGTAAAGAAAGTCATGTGCTTATAGTCGTCCTCCTACTAAGAAGAAGCAGATTTTTAGGCCCTTAAAGGTTAGTTCCTCGCTGGAGAAAAAGCAGTGACATAGTATCTTTGTATTTCAGTAACATGAATTAAATACTCTTCACTTAGCAATGACTAAAAAATGAACAGAAGAAAGTAAGCCTTAGAATTAATAATCTGGACCATGGGAAACAAATCTGGGCCTGGGTCCCGTACCTGTCCTGTTTATCATCTCAGTCAGTGACCTGGAGCTGGGGACAAATGACACTTATGTGAATTCTGCAGGTGAATTCTGCAAGCATGGGAGAACACTCAGTATATCTAAGAGTGCAGCTTGCTATCAGGAGAAGCTTGAAAGAGGTGGGCCAACAAGAACATTAACAGGGACATACACTGAGCACTCAGAAGGATACTATTTGCTACCGCCGTTTAGGTGGAGTAAAGTCAATAAACCATCACTCCATGAGCCTCATCATTCACTCCATTCAACTCATCCAGACTATTAACACTGCACCTTGGATGTTAGACTACTGAGGGAGACGGTCTCAAATGCTTTGAGGCGGACTGGGTAAATGACTTCCACTGCCCTCTTCTTGTACTCTGGTCTGGTCGTTCTTTCCCAGTAGTCAGTCAGGTACCCTCAGAATTTTCTTAGGGATCAAAGTAAAATCAACTAAGTTCTAGTTCCTTTTATATCTTCCTTATGGCATTTTTTTTTTTTTTTTTTTTTTGAAAATAAGGGAAACATTTGTCTTTCTGCAATTGTCAGGACCTCTCCAATGTCCATAACTTTTCAAAGGTTATAGTGAGCAGCCTTGTAGAAACATTGCCCTGCTCTCTCAGCATCCTCACCCATCTAGCCCTAACACATACACTTGTACAGTCTGAGTTCTCTTGGGCAATTTCAGCCTTATCCTGTGTCAGATGTAAATGTTATGCCTGTTCTGAGCTCTGCACACAAGAACTGCAGGATCGTAAGATTTTTCTGTCCCACACGGCTTCATACCACTGTATTCCAGCAGCAAAACAGGCAAAAAGCTAGAGTTAGCAGCTCCTCTGGGATTATTGTTTTCCCTGAGCTTCTGTGTTGCCTGAATATCAAAACAAGCAGGACTGCAGCTGCAGCTATAAAGCTGAGAGTTCCCTTAGCACAGTGGAAATGTCTTTTGCAAATCCCATTGGACTTGGTGGGCATGAAGGGGGTCAGACTGAGTTCTACCTCCTTTTGGATACATGGTTTCCCTGTAACTCACTGCCCATGTAATCCCTCACTTTTCAGTTACTTGTAAACACAGTAGAGTTACAACAGCTTGAAAGACTTTTGACTGTCTTAACATCTTTCCCCTCTTCTGCTGCATCCACCCCACAGAACGCACTGACACTTTCCTCCTTTCACACCCTTCAGTGTAAAGAAGACTACATCCCAAGATGTCTGATCTGAAAATCAGTTTAGCGCTCTACTCTCACCATGTTTAAAATGCCCCAGTTCTGCAAATCAGTGACTCCTTAGTAGAGATTTGTATAAGTGGGTTTTTTTTCTATTTTTCTGGTTTTTCAGTTTCTCCTCTCCCTTGTTTTCACAGTGGACATAGTGTGTTTGAGTAAACAAATACTTACAAAGTGGTCAGGATCTCAAGAGACATTTGGTACAACTTCTCATTCAGCAGAGTTATTTGAGACTGGCATTTATATTAAAGAACAGTCTAATCTGATGTCAGGAGAGGTGCTAAGCAACCTGATGAGAACTAAGAGGTCAGATTTACCAGTCTGGTTGCGTCTTGGGTAAATGGCAAGGTTCTGTTTAATTACCTTTTCTATATATATTCCTACCCATTTTTGCAGGCAACTGTTTTTTGAGCTGCCAGCTGAGTCATAAGAAGGAAACCAAAAGAGATTTGGTGAAATATAAAACACACTCATTAACAGCAGTTTGCATTAGTGATGGCAGTAAATTCCATGGAAATAGTTTATGTCCTTTTATACCTTTCCTGAACTGTAATGTGACCCATACTCCTGTCTCAGTTCCTGAAAAAACGTTGAGACGTATGCTTGGAAATTGAAGTTGATTGAAATGCAGAGCAGAGCTTTACAATGGAGGGATGGGAAAACTTCAATTTCAACCTCACCAAACAGCAAGAAAATAGTAGTTGTGTCTTTATTTTCTTTGTCAGAAGTTTATCTGTTTATATACTTGTTTCTGAAACTACAGGAGTTAATTGCTTGCAGAACACTGAGGAATAGTAATGGATGCCTTTCCATAGGCCTAGAGAATACCTATTGCCTGTTTTGTGAAGTAGTCGTAAACATTGCATAGGAGGATGAGATGGACGCTATCTTCCTCCCAGTAATACAACACTTTTGCTGGGAATCCTGAAACTTAATGACTGCTGACTTAACCATAAATCTCCTCAGGGAACAAATAATCAGTTGTGTCAGTCATGTTCCTATCAGTACCTTCCAAGTCTAGTGAGTCTTCCAACTAATGATAAATTGTCAAGATTGTGTTAAGAATTTGTGCGTTTGGACATAATAGTTTGGACAAATAATTTGGGTAATTATTTTCTGTCATTAGAAGTTTTTTATTAGTTACACTGGATTTTTTAAACCCCTGATAATACAGAGTTGACAAGTGCACAGTCTGAGCTCAAAAGGAAAGTCAAAACATATCCTTTTTGTTTTCTGTACACCAACTCCATCCTTGCACAACCTTCGGGCTTTCCTGGATTATCTCAGCTGTCGGGGAGATAACAGAGCAGGCCAACAGGCCTTAGCAACTTCTTGGCTCCTCCTCTGCCAGCAGCGAGTTCAAAGTGCCCTGAGAGCTACTCCATCAACTTTACAGGGACAGTTTTTCCTGCCAAGGAGTGGAAATGGGCCATAGCCAGTGACTGCAACTTGTTGTGAAGGCCCCTGTTGTGCAGTGGTGTGAGAGCAGCCATGCCAAACCACTGTGACTGGACAAAAAATATTTACTAAGCTTTTAAAAACAACATTAAGAGGAAAAAGTGGATTCTGGGAACCCTCAGAGAGATACTTAAATAAAAAATGTGCTCTTTTCTCAGCTTTCATCTTACAACCAGTTTTCAATGGCTATTACAGAGGTCTGAGTACAGTACTGTGATGCAAGTCATTGTTAGCTTACTTTGGGCCAATACATTAAGTCCTGTTGACACTGATGATACTGCAGACAGTGCACTTATTTGCACATTAGCGCATATTTGCCTTTCTCTCACAGGTGGATGGTAACATCATGGTCTCCATGCACACGGAGCTGCGGTGGAGGAATCCAAATGCGACGAGTGACATGCCAACAACTGACAGCAAAAGGCAACTCTGTCCCAATGTCAAATGAAGCCTGTGCTCAAGCGTCCAAGCGCCCGGTGGACACACAGAACTGTAACAGGCAGCCTTGTGTTGAGTGGGTGGCCTCCTCCTGGGGCCAGGTAAGGAGCATGCTAGCAGTCTGAAAACAGATTCATTCTGTGGGTGAGGAAGAGGTGACAGAAGACGAGAATCTGTGGTCTGCATGCTGTACTCTGCAGGCTTTTGAGAAGGCAATTAATTTGCTTAGTGCTTTCAGCTTTGTATTTGATACAGTGCATGTTTGAGTCTCTGTACCTTCAGGCAGTCCCCAGAAGAACCACATGTGAACAGGATTTCCACTGCAGACTCCTCTTTTGTCCCCAGTGGAAACGTCTGCCCCCAGACAGGTTACAGACAGGTTACAAGTCTGGAAAATAGCATACTGCCTTCTCTAAGTCTACAGGTGCTCTTTGAACCTATGGAATGTGTTTCAGTTTAAGTTTTCAGGAGTCAGATCTGATGGCCGTGGTAGATTTGGTGGAGCGTTTACAAGAAAACAGTTCTAAAAGATTCTAATGTTGTCTGAGAAACTTATAAAATAGAAGAATTCACTTTGTAACGAAATGCAGGAGAGATCATGAACCTCCCCCTTCCAAAACTTCCTTCTTCCTCACATTAAAGCCCCTTTCTTCAAATCCCTTGTCTGTTCTGGAATATAATGGCCAGATACGCATCAAGCAAACTGTTCACTAACTGTTGATTTAACTTAAAACAATAGAAACACATGCTTAATATCCAGAACTAACTGTGATTTAATTGAAGGAGAAGATTAGAAGAAATAAACAGCAAGTGTGAAACTGATATGCTTGAATAGATTAGGATGGCTTCATTGCTGAAACATACTTTCAGATACACTGCTTTCGACATGGTTTCCTTTCTTGTCCTGCAATATTTTTTTTTTCCAGTGGAATATTTTTTTGGTTCAATACATTCTTTGTTATTAACAATTTGCTCATAAATTGTGGTAGTACAAGCTGCAAAATGCACAGTAAAAGGAATGTATTGAGATTTCCTATATGGATCATTGGCTCTTGGCTATTGATGTGAGAGCATTTTATTTGCCCTACAGATGTATTTAAGATTGAACTATTGAAGAGGAGAGGGTAATGAACCTAGAGAGCAGATACAGAAATGCTGTTTCAATATAGCTGGAGGGGGTGAAGTAGGACAAATGATAATTGTGTGCTTACCTCCAAAGTGTGCAGAACTGCAGGAAATTCTTGAAAGCTGCACAGTTACTGCATGGGAGTATGCACTTTATTTCACCAGCAGTCTTATGAAAGGAGAACACTGACTTTTACTTCCATTAAGCAGTTTTCTGTTTTCACAGTGTAATGGGCCTTGCATTGGGCCACGACTCGCTGTACAACACAGACAGATATTTTGCCAGACAAAAGATGGGACTTCTGTGTCATCTGATCAGTGCAGTGCCTTACCGAGGTAGGACAGAAATATCGTACACCACTGTTCTTTGAGAGATTTTGAATAACCTGGAGGTTTAGCAAACATCTTTTGGGTTTTCCCTATGCAGCAAAGTGGTCATGCTGCAACCTGTTAAATTATGCAGCATAAACCTCAGCAGGCTTAAGCCAAGACTTCATTCATATCAGCTCTAGAGGTAATAAATACATAAATAAAAATAAAATTAAGAAAATAATTTTAGAAAAACTCACAAGAGCAGGCTAACAATTGAAGAACTGGCATAATAAAACCTAACTAAAGCACTGTGCTATCTCTGAGAGCAGGAGCGCGTTCATTATCTGTTAGTGATGAACTTCCAAAGCTTCCAGTCTCCCTGTCTCGCAATTCAACACGAGTGCTAACTGGATAAGAATGACACAGCATTTATTTTTCTTCAAATAAATTCCACTGACTTTATAGAAACATACTTATTTTCCATTAGACTGTGCTGAAGGAAAAAAGAGATTATGTAAGAACATTTTTTGTCTCCTGTTGATCGCAGACATCAAAAATTAACAAACCTTTGATGTGTTTGAACGGGTGCTACTTCATTCATTACACCTTTTTTAATGGCATTCTGCTGCAGTATTTATGGGCTGGTGATATGTAGGTCAAACACTCCAGCAGTTCAAATTTTTGTTTAACTCCAGTTGTCCTATACCAGTTGACGATATCTGAGGGTCTAGCCTGTGAGTGCAGTTGAAAATTGCTTTTCAGTGCACCGAGCTTATTTCTGCTTGCACACAGTGAAGACAGGGCTCAGAATAAGTAGTATTTGGGGCATGCAAGGCTTGCAGTACCCAGGGCTTGCACAGTGCCAGGAGTGGCACACACTTCTCGCACAGTGCAGTAAGTGGCTTTTGTCCCTTCTCTTTTGCTCACAGGCCTTTGAGCACTCAGAACTGCTGGACTGACATCTGTGGCGTGCATTGGAGGGTCAGCTTGTGGACAGTGTGTACAGCTACCTGTGGAAACTATGGCTTCCAGTCCCGGCGTGTGGACTGTGTGCACATCCGCACCAACAAACCCGTGCTCGAGCACTACTGCTCCTGGAGACCACGGCCAGTCAACTGGCAGCGCTGCAACATCACGCCCTGTGAGAACAGTACGTTTATGAGCAGAGGGGTGGGTGTGAGGAGGGGGGGAAGCCTCTGGGTCCTCCATGTGGAGTCATGTCTCCGAAATGCAGTTCTGGGCATCACAGCTCAGCTTTCTGGAGAACCTCTGGCTTGAACACATGCAAAACACATTGTCCAAAGCTCAGCATCTTGGTGGGAGGGCATGGTGCCTGCTGTGGTTTGTTGGCAGCAGTGCTGACACCAAGGTTGCATGCCCTTGCTAACCATTTAAGACGGCTATGCAACCTTAGCTTTCTGTTGATGCTACAGCTAGGAGAAAAAATACAAGTCACAAACAGTGTTCACTGTATTTTAAATAAGTCTAAATCCACTGTGTAGGTTAATGCTGGGAATCGTTGCCATGGAAGCTGCTTGCTTTCAGGTGACAAGCAACAAATTGTGCCTGCAAGAGGAAAAGAGAAGTTAAAAATATATTTTTTTTTAATAAAAAAATAATTAAAAAGAAGAAGCAGCAGAACAGATGCTTTAGTTGTTGCTGAGCCATGCTGCACAGAGCCCAGGTTGTTTGAGCTTCTCACACTGCCCTGTTAACAAGGTGGCTGGAGGTGCATAAGGAGCTGGGAGGAGCCAGAACCAGGACAGTGACCCAAATTGGCCAATATTCCCATACCGTGTGGTGTCATACAAAAAAGCATGAAACACTGGAAAGTTGGCTGCAGAGACAGCCACTGCTCAGAGACTGTCTGCATCATTCAGCAGATGGTGAACAAGTGTGTTGTTTATCACTTGTTTTGCAAGTATGCATGTATAATAATATCATTACAGTTATTTTCATTTTCCATCTTAGTAAATAGATTTTATCTCAACCCACAAGTTCTACTTTGTTTTTTTTCCCAATTCTCTTTCCCATCTCACTGGGAATGGGAGGAGTGGTGCTAGTGGGTGTCATGCTAAGCTGCCTGCTGGCTTAAAGCACAAAGAGTTAGAAGGGAGTTTCAGTGATCATCTATTCCAGCTGCCTGACTTGAGGTTTTTAGAGCTGCCCTGCTGAAATGAATTTCCAGTTTCATTTACTACTTCATCTTCTGTTTAACAACTGTTACAAAACTCTAGAGCATCAGATGGCAAATTATGCTGAGTGCTGGAGCAGCTTCAAAAGCCATTCTCACACTCTGAAAGCCATAGCTGCCCACTGCATTCCCCTTTGATCCTTTAGTGGCTTACAGTCCCCACTCAGTGTCTGCAGCAAGTCAAGGTCATGCTCACAGTGAGACCTCCCAGCATTAAAACTGTTTTGAATTGCTCTCAAGTGAGAAAATCTTTCTTTCACTGCTTCATCACCATCTCTCCTTTTTGTTTCCCCTTTGGCAGTGGAGTGCAGAGACACCACAAGGTACTGTGAGAAAGTAAAGCAGCTCAAACTCTGCCAGCTCACCCAGTTCAAATCACGCTGCTGTGGGACTTGTGGAAAAGCTTGAAGGCGAATGCGATGAAAATGGAGGAACAAGGGGATCTCAGCTTTTGCTTCACTGAGGCAAAGACTTCTGCAGAAAATAGAAACAGAATGGAATTCTTTTTTTTGTTTGTTTTTTTGGTTTTTTGTTTTGTTTTGTTTTGTTTTTCTCCATTTTATTTATTTATTTCCCTTTAAAAAGGAAAAAAGAGAAGAAAAAATGAAAAAAGAAAATCCTTTACCAAATTGTTGTTGTAAAGGGACATGACAAATTTTCCCTTTTAGATATCTGGGAGACAGAATGCAGCAAAACATGGTCATGGAGGGTAGATCACAAAGATTCAATGAATCCCAAGCCACAGGGCCTGAGAGGAGTGGGGTTGCCCCATAGTCCATGTATGCACTTGGGAATACACCATCAGATAAATGGAGAAGTGGATCAAAATCAAAATATAGCATCACATTCAACCACCAAATCAAACAAATCAAACAGTCTGATACCTGGTGGGGCAAATAAAACAAAGACTAGACATTCATCAGTGGAGTATACAGACCCTACGTTTGTCTTAGACTAATTTGGGTATATAAGCATATGATACTGCTTTATAAATCTATCAGTTACACCCAACATTGGATTTCTTTTTTCCTTTCCATGTCCTTCTCATCACAGGCCTTCAAATGATCAGTGGGAGATCTTGTTAATCTTTGAGAATCAAGTCTGGTGTCTGAGAAAGTTGAGCAATGTTTTGTAATGTGAGTGAGTCTAGAAGACATCTGAAAATGTTCACAAGTTGCATTTGTGTGAGAGGGTTGGAGAAAAGAGTGTTGCCTTCAGCATAAAGGTGATGATGTCAGATATTATCTAGGAGAAGGAAAGAAAGTATGATCTGCTACAGGCAGGCTGTAACACAAACCTGCAAATGCTGTCTTGTACAGAACACAGGCAGGTAAGATGTGGAAACGAGAGCTGCTTCGCATCCTAATTCCTACTAATGCTTACTAGGAATAGGTAGGAGTACCAGTACCCAGAGTTAAGGAACTTTCAGAGGTGGCATTTTGATAAGAAATTTGAGGAACTGGGTTTTTCTTTTCTGCTAACATGGATATTTTCTGTCCTGATGGCCAATCCTTTCAGAAAAGTAGTAGATATTTTCTGAAATTGCTGGCTGTTCCTACTCAGTAGGACCAGAATAGATTCAGCATCAGCCCCAGAGGACTAACACTAAGAAGATTTTTAAAATTTGCTCCTCTATGGCTGTTACACAACAAAATGAATGCTGTAAAGCTGCACATTTATAACCCAGGTACTAGACTCTAAAGAGATTTTCTAAAAAGTGAGCCTCAAACATCACATATTGCATGCTGTCTATGAACCTTTCTCCATGGTCAGTTGCAGTGGTTATTCATCCAGTGAAGTGCTTCATCCTTTTAGTTCCTGGACAATCCTTTCTCTACTCTGAATAGAGCCTTAAAATTAGAAGAGATTTGCAAAGGAGGAAGTTTGAGCATCATAAAAAATCTAAAGGAGATCTGTCTGGATGTGAGGTCTTGGTTCAAGACCATTTCTAAATTAAAGGCTTGGTTATGCCTCATCCCCCGTGGGGCTCAGGCCTTGTGGTGCATTATTGAAATGCTGTTCAAGTGCTGCTGTGTTACAGCTTCCATGATGTGGCTTTTTCAGCAAAACTGGAGTTCTCAGGTCAGTGTCATGTTCAAGACACTGACCTGTCTCTGGTTGCTTTGGAACACATATGTCAGTGGTAGCTCTCACTACAAATGGGTCTTCAAGAAATAGTGTTGCTAAGCTTCAGTGTAACTTTTTATTTAAAAAAAGAAGAATGTCTTTCTATGTATGTAAATGTATATCTTTTCTGTATATTTATTAGGATTTCTTGTATAAAAAGTGCAATATTAATAATTGTACATTATTTTGTCCAGATAAAACTATTTGTTTGGGTTTTTTTTTTAAATCTCCCCAGAATTTTGTTCCTCTAAAATCTATGGTAGTAGAGAAATTCTCACTTGCTTTTAATTGAGGATCTGCTTGACTGTGCACAGAGTGCTTTCTAAAATATGACATGAGGAAAGGATGATATTTTTAAAGGATAAAAAAAAGGATTAAAGGATGATAGTTATGCATGGAATGAAGGACAATTCCATAATACTAATAGTAACAATAATAACAAGAAGAACAATAAGAATGTGGTGGATATTTCTAATACAGTAGTTAACAAAAAGCAGCACAGGGAAGTACTGACATTTGTTTGACTGCAAAGCATATTTATATTCATGTTGAATGGCAGCTGTGTAACTGTGCCCAGGATAAACAAGGTGATTAGATCCGGAAGAGCAGTTGTGTCATCTCTGCACAGTGTGAATTTAATTTCATATATTTGTTCTGTGAATTGTGACTTGGCAGCATCTCAATAATATAAGATTTCTGGATTATTTTACAAAAGGAATTTTTCTTTCTCTAACAAGAAGGCAAATCAGCAAATTTGTATTTATATAATTTTTGTACAGGTAATGCAGGTTACTTACTTAACTACTGCTGTCTGATGTGCTGTTAATATTAAGTTTAAAAACAAAAGCCAAACAAGGAGCATGCTGTCCTTATCCTGTATTATAGTGGTAGCAAACAGCTGTTACATTAAATACATATGATCACCATCATCCTCTTTCCCCACAGCAGGAGCTACCCTGTTGTCATTTCTTTTTAAAGTCTCCAGACATTAACATTCTGCACCCAGTCTTGGAGAACTTTTTGAATTCTTCATCACCCTTGCTTTACTCTTTTCCATCTCTACAGCTCTTTTAGGAGTAGATGGCTTTCGCTGGTCCTAGGTTCATGGAAATCAGTAGAAGTGATTTTTCATATACAGGAACTCTCAAAGACATTTTGTAACTCTCCTCAGTAATCTCTGGTGTGAAGCAATCCCCACAACCTAATATTCAGTATTTTCTTATAGATCTCTGCTGCCTTCAGTAACTGAGCTTACAAATTCTTGAAGCATCGGGAATACGCTTAGAAGAAAACCTAGTCATGATCAAAATTACTGGGGGGCATTAGGGAGGGTGGGAATGGGAATAAAGCAAAGACATTTTCTTAGAAAAGACAAACACAAGTTTTGAAAACTAAGTTGATTCTTCCATCTCCGTTTTCAAACAAACTTTATAACGTATCTTCTAAAAAGGAACAATGAATTTGTTTTGATTTACTGAGAATTTACCCAATATGATGTTCCTAGCTGTACCTGTTGAGACACCTGCACTGCAACAAAATAATACCTCACCGAAGCGCACATACAATTTTAGGCCGAAGACAAGCCCTGAGACTTTCAAGTGACAGAACTGAATGAAATGGGAATTTGTAATGGGAATTGGTCATTCATTTTGAGTAAAGCAAGTTGAAAAGCTGGTGTTGATGTAAAATGAAAAGCAGACCAGCTTAGATTCTCCAGAGAACAATTATTCCCTTTTTATACATATGGCTCTTGTTACTAGTCAAGTCTGAATGCTTTCAGAACCTTCAAAGCAAGCTTCCAGTTTTGTTCTCCCTACTAATTTTCACTGAAAAAGAAAAACAGTTGTGCAACAAGCAGAGAAATGCAGTGCTGAAAAGTTCCTGACAGGAGACTTTTCCCAGCCTCCTGTTCTGTGGAAAAGTAAGCACATCTAAGCTACTCCTTTAAAGCCACAGAAACCATGGGGAGAGCTTTCTGAAGTAATCTTGGAATGTTTTTTCCTACTATCTTCCATCTTGTAGGGTGGAACTTACTGGTTCAGCTTCTTTCAGAATTTTGACTCTCTAGCCTTCCCTTCCCATTGCTTAAGCTAGTTTATCTGCACCCTCTCTCATTTTTTGGTTCTTGTAGTTGGGCACTCACTCCAATGCATAAATAGCACCAATAGCTGGAAAGTAGTCTTGAATGATTTGCATCCCCACTTCATATTGAGGCTTCCGCTTGCAATAGCTTCACATTTTGGCTTGTCCACTTCATAGCAGTATTGCTGCTGGCATACCTCGTCTATTAATATTAGCAAGATTAGAACCCTGATTTTTGCCACTGGAAATACTGTTGTATCACCAGTGTGGTATAATTCACAGAGCTCTTCAGTGTGTTCTTTATTTCAGCTTTTAAGTACTAGATGTAGGGGAGGAACTATGGAGTGACGTTAACATTTGAAATAGCTATTACAACTTGTCAGCTTCTTTTTAGAGACACCGACTTGGTTAGTGAAATATAGATTACTGAATCACGATGTGCTCTAAGAATGACATGTGTCAACATTATTACTGATTTCTATCTACTGCTTCCATCTCACCCTCTTTCCAAGTTATCCTATTAAAGATAAAGGTAATGATCACCATACTATATGTTCTGTACCCAAACACTGATTCATAAATAAATTTGTTTCTTTATCCATGTAATCTGAAACCTAAATCTGTATAACAAACAGGTGAGCCAAGCACTAGCTGTATTCCAGACTTTCAGGACCATCAAAGTCCTCCTAACTTCTTAACAGCTGTCAGTGAGTCACTAATCATTTCAGCTAGTTCATACAAAGTTAACTTTATTCATTTGGTTTCAAACTGTTTGAATGCCAGATTTTCACACAGAGTACCAGTGTAAACAGATGGGAAAATCAGAATCACAAATGCTTGCTATTGCCCTGCATATCAGCAGACCACAGTACAGGAATCAACATTTTTCTTTATCCTCTCATTTAAAAGTATACATGAATTTATCAGTAATCTTATATATTGACTGTCACGCTCAGTATTTATTTATGAATACAAATATTTTTTTGGCTTGTTAGCATTTTCACCCACATTATTTTTCACTTCCACCCAACTTTTTCCATTTTTTTTTAGATTTGATCAAAATCAAATCTAAGACCTAGTCATATGCCTAGCCATTTTTCACCACATCTTGCTATAAGACTCTTACTTTACATATATATTTATACTTCTATAGGTAGATCATAGAATTATGTTCAGTAATTTGTAACCTAAAGTGTTATTTGTCTACATTTGTAAGAGGAAAAGCAAAGGCACAGCATTTCAATTACATGTTCCTATGCTCCCCTACTTTTTCACTGAGATACAATTTACTTATTCTCAACTTCATACATTG